GAAGTGGAAAATTCACATGCTCAGAACCCATCTCTTCATACAAAATTGTTAACATACGTGAATTCAAGGCATTGCTCTTTATAAAACTTAAAATTTGTGCTGACTGCAAAAGAGTTTTATGTAAGCATGGAGACAACTTTTCTGCTGCTAAACGTTCACGATGAATAAAACAATGTGTAAACGCCAGTGTATTCATGGCAACTTCTTGAATTTTTTCCCTTAAACCAGAATACCTGCCAGTCATGCTTGCAGCCCCATCTGTACACAGACCAACACAATATTTCCAATTCAGAGATTTACTATGAATATATTTATTTATTAGTTCAAATAGTTCAACACCAGTTATTGGTGAAGGCATTTCAATATAACATAATAATTCTTCTTTTATATCACTACAGTCATTATCAATGAAGCGAATATAGCACAAAAGAAGGGTAGTATTTGAGATTTCTGAAGACTCATCTATCTGAAGGGCAAACCACTTTGACTCTCTGACTTTTTGAATCAGCTGGTCTTCAATGTCTGCAGACAGTTCATCAATCCTGTGTCCAATCATATTATTAGAAAGAGGAATGGTTTTCATTTTGTCTCCAGCACTTGAACCCCAAACTTCTGAACACATTTCTACTAAGTGTGGTTTAATTAACTCTTCAGCAATGGAGAATGGCTTCTTGCTGGCAGCAATTTGGAAAGCAATTAAATAAGAAGCTTTCACGAGTGACTTTTCAACTAGTAAACACTTTTTAAAAGAACTATTTTGACATTCCATTTCAAGAGATTTTTGTTCAAAAAAATCTACTGGTTTGTTTTCCAATTCTGAATGTTTTGTCTTTAAGTGATGAGAAAGATTTGCTAGCTTCATGTGTTCAGCAGATAAGATTTCTCCACAAATGACACACTGAGGCCTTGGTGAACTTTCTTTTGATCCAGGATAGATAATAAAACCAACTTTTAAATATTCTACATCGTAAGTCTGGAAAAAACCTATTTTTCTTTTCTTTGCAGGTGGAGAATCAAGTTCCACATCATTCTTCCCATTGGGGATAGGTAAATCTGAATGAAATATTTGAATCTCTGTTATTTTCAAGAATAAGCTATGTTATTCATGTTTTCCTCATACATATTTAACATTTATACTTTTTTTACTATTTATCAAAGGAATATACTAAAGCTTAAACACAAACCATAATACTTCCACGATACCACTGAAAACAGAATTTCTCCTTCGTCCAAAGCTTGTTCACTGACTAAAGTGAAACTGTAAGCTGTGTACATGAACAAGAAATTCTGTCTATTCAATAGATAACTGGAATCAGGGTTGAAATCCACAGAATACATCATATTAAGAATAAATAACTTCACTTTTAAAAAGTTCAGGAAAAAAGAGAAAAGAAATGTTGCAAAAAGTTAACATTTGGTAAATCTAAATGAAGGGCCCTGACAGGTTTGGCTCAGTGGATACAGCGTCAGCTTGCGGACTGAAAGGTCCCAGGTTTGATTCCGGTCAAGGGCATGTACCTGGGTTGCGGGCACATCCCCAGTAGGAGATGTGCAGGAGGCAGCTGATCGATGTTTCTCTCATCGATGTTTCTAGCTCTCTATCTCTCTCCCTTCCTCTCTGTAAAAAATCAATAAAATATATTTTAAAAAAAATTTAAATGAAGGGTATAGTGGTGTTTGTTGTGCTATATTTTCAATCTTCTTGAATTTTGAAATTTTTCCAAATTAAAGTTGGGGGGAAAAGGGTTAATTAGTAGTTTTAATACTCAATGTTAGTTAGGGTGCAGAGAAATTAATGCTATCAAAACACTGGTAGTTGGAGCATAAATTGATGTGCTTTTCAGAAGGGCAATTTTGCAACATATATAAAAAAAACCTATGATAGCTTTTGCCCTGGCTGGTATTTCTCAGTGGTTAGATCATTAGCCCCAGTCAGGGGCACATACCTGTGTTGTAGGCTCAATTCCTGGCACCCTGGGGTATGTGTAGGAGGCAGGTAATCAATTGATGTGTATCTATCACATCAATGTTTCTCTTTCCGTCTCTCCTTTCCACTCTCTCTAAAAATCAATGGAAAAAATATCCTCAGGTGAGGGTTGGCAAAAAAAAGGTCTATGATAGCTTTTGAAACTATAATTCCACTACTTAGAATTTATCTTAAGAATAAAATTAGACAAATGTACAAAGATCCATTTACACAGCTTAACTCAACTTTTTTTATAATATTAAAAAATAAAGTAATCTAATTGTCCAATCTTAGAGAAATGGGTATGTTATATACACTGGAATCTATGCATATCTTTTAAGAATCTCAATGTATATTTAAATTTATATTCACATGGAATGGTTTCTGATGCAATTCAAATAAAAATGTAGTTTATAACAGCATATAGGAAACAATCCAATATTTAACATAGAAATTTTTTTTCACATAAGCACACATACCTACACATTTAGATGTCCACATGTGAATGTGCATATAATATCAATTCATTACACAAAAAGTGTATCATTTTAATGGGAATATAAAGCAAGCAAACTTACTGAGGAAGGAAAATGGGGTTCTCCTTGACTACCAAAAGAAAGGCATCCTTCATAAAAACTTGTGATTATTTTTCATTTTTTTTATTGATTTCAGAGAGAAGGGAGAGGGGAAGAGAGATAGAAACATGAATGAGAGAGAAAGAACGATCGGCTGCCTCCTACATGTCCTCTACTGGGGATTGAGCCAGCAACGCAATGTGCCCTGCTGGGGATTGAGCCAGCAACGCAGACATGTGCCCTGACTGGGAATCGAACTGTGACCTCCTGGTTCCTGGGATGACACCCAACCAACTGAACTTCACTGACCTAGCTGATGATTATTTTTTGACAGAGTAAGCTTTTAAATACAGTATATTCGATGAAGTAAAATTAAGAACAAAAATCAGCCCTGGCTAGTGTGGCTCAGTTGGTTAGGCATTGTCCCATGCACCAGGAAGCTGCCAGTTCAGTTCCCAGTCGGGGCACATGCCCAGGTTGCAGGCTTGATCCCAGGTAGGGGGTATGCAGGAGGCAGCCAACTGATGTCTAGTTCTCACATCAATGTTTCTCTTTCTTTTCTTTTCTTTTCTTTCCTTTATGGCACTATTATAAGTGTAATCTTGAATCTATTCTAATTGTTTTTAAGTAGTCATTTTGGCCCTCCCTAGTTTGGCTCAGTGGATAGAGTGTCAGCCTGTGGACTGCAAGGTCCTGGGTTTGATTCTGGTCAAGGGCACATGCCCGGGTTGCAGGCTCAAACCTCAATGTGGGGTGTGCAGGAGATGGCCAATCAATGATTCTCTCTCATCACTAATGTTTCTATATCTCTCTCCCTCTCCTTTCCTCTCTGAAATCAATAAAAATATATTTAAAACACAAAACAAAAAAATTAAAAAATCAATACAAAAATTTTTTTAAATTAAAAAATGCTTTGAGCAGAGCTATGAAAGTAACTGAAAATATAAGGGTAGGTTGGGTTAAAAGCTATAACATGGATTGGAGCAACAGTTTACAACCTTTTCAAGTATGAATTCAAATAATTTTCCTTATCAACAATACCTCAGACATACAGTTATACCTTTAGTAACTGACAAATCAACTTACAGTGTTTTAAAAAAACAACTAAGATTAAATCACTAATGCTTTTTAAAAAATTGTATTTATAATGTGGGGATAAGGACACATGTAATAACTTAATAAAAAAAATTTATATTTAGTAATTATAATAGCTTATCTATACATCTGAAAAACAGATGTTTGTCTACTCTACACATAATGCTTTGTGTGCATATGGATTCAATTTAGTAGTTATTAGTGTAAATGACAATAATTATAAAAGAAATAAATTAGATGTTCAAAGGGTTAAATGTTTTCACATTTATGAAATTGTCAATGACTTTCTTTTCCTTTCTTTACAAAAAAAGAAACAGAGGACAAACTTTCCACATGTGGAAAGCACAAGGACACATACCTGTCTGACATTCCTTGTGTTGTGTATGTGGTTTGCAAGAGATGGCCTTGGTCTGTGTGGCGGGCTTGCACAATAATGCTTTGTTCTTTAAAAGCCGGGAAGACTGGGAAGAAAGAAGTTTCATGGCATCTGTCTGTGTATTTCCCTAGTTAAAAGCAAATTAAGAAACCAAAGAGAGATTTTTTTAGTATCTCATCACTGACAATAATTGCTATCAATTGAAAGGTGGCATGTATCAAGAGAAATATAATTTCTCTGAAAGAGTGATTGTAATAAAGAAGTCAGTATGGAAAATATACACTAATTCCTAATTCTTCTAATCAGTATTAGTTCCATTTACTGAAAATACTCTGCCGATAGTAAGTATAATCAAAACAATGAAAGCAGGCAAAGGACCTAAATAGACACCTTTCAAAAGAGGACATTCAGAAAGCCAAGAGACATATGAAAACATGCTCAAAGTCACTAATCATCCGAGAGATGCAAATCAAAACAACAATGAGGTATCATCTCACACCTGTCAGACCTGCTAAAGAAAGGTTAAGTCTAATGTTCTATTAGGGATGTGCATTATTTTATTAGAGCATATCAGCAAATGTGTGTTTTAACAAAATTAAAAACAACAACACAGGAGTAATTTCCCTATTGAAAGGTAATGCAAAAAAACAGAAACTGCTCAGGTAGATGAAATGTTGAAATTTATTTGGTTGGTATAGTTGATAATAATATACCTTAACATACTCACTTGGATTTTTTTATACATATACAATGAACTATAAATACATAATACAACTACAACTTACTTGGAAGACATTATACATATTATAACTAAAATGGCAAAGAAGCCCTAGCCGGTTTGGCTCAGTGGATAGAGCATTGGCCTGCAGACTGAAGGGTCCTGGGTTTGATTTCAGTCAAGGGCATGTACCTCAGTTGCAGGCTCGATCCCTGGCCCCGGTCAGGGCGCATGCAAAAGGCAACCAATTGATGTGCCTTTCTATCACATTGATGTTTCTCTCCCTTTGTCTCTTCCCCTCCCTTCCAAAATTTGAAAAAAAAAATGAAAAAAAAATAAATAAATAAAACCGGAAAAAAAAAAAAAAACAATGAAAGCAATCTTCGCTAATTAGGACAACTATTTAGAAAAATTAGAGCCAATGTCAGACTATATGCAAAAATATATTCCATATCAATCAACAACCTCAAAATGAAAAATATTAACTGGAGAACTTTTAAATGAACAGAACAAGAAACAAGTATTCTTAAATAAAACATGAGAATTAAAAACAAAGCAGAAAAGATGGACATATTTGACTACCTTGAATTTTTTTTGCAAACAAAGGTCTTTATAAAATGAAGTTGAACCCTGGCTGGTGTAGCTCAACTGGTTGGAATGTCATCCTGCATACTGAAAGGTTTCAGGTACAATTCCCGATCAGGGCACATACCTAGGATGCAGGTTTTATCCCTGGTTTGGGTGTGTGCTGGAGGCAACCGATTGATGTTTCTCCCCCGCCCCCCATGCCCCCCCTCAAATGAATAAAAACACATCCTTGGGTAAGGATTTCTAAAAAAAAATTGAAGAATAAGCAACAGAGTGAGAGAATGTATTTAAAACATGTTTTTCGCCCTGACCGGTTTGGCTCAGTGGATAGAGCATCGGACTGCAGACTGAAGGGTCCCAGGTTCGATTCTGGTCAAGGGCATGTACCTTGGTTGCGGGCACATCCCCAGTGGGGAGTGTGCAGGAGGCAGCTGATCAATGTTTCTAACTCTCTATCCCTCTCCCTTCCTCTCTGTAAAAAATCAGTAAAATATATATTTAAAAAAACAAAAACAAAAACAAAAACATGTTTTTCCATTCAATTACAGAGTAATATTTACTGAATGTTCAGTTTAAGTCAAGCACTCTTCTAAGCCCTGGGGATACAGCAAAAGACAAGACAAAGTACTACTCTCATGCGACTTACATTCTAGAGGAAGGCTCAGAAGATAAACAAGTAAAACAAATATATAATGTATAATTTTAGGGAATGATAAGTGCTATAGAAGAAATAAAGTAGGGTAAGAGAATGGAGAGCGATGGTGTGGAGGAAGGAGTAAACATTTGAGCAGAGACCTTCTGAATATTCAAAAGAGCAAGCCATGCAAAGGCCAGAGGTCAGTGGATTCCAGGCAGAGGGATGGTAGGTGCAAATCTGTGAAGTGGGAAAAAGCTTGGCCTGCTTTAGGAATATCAACAAGAACAAGGCTAAGAAAGCAGGGGTGAGAATAATACATTTGGAGAGGTAGGCAGAAGCCAAACTGTATAGGGTCTGGAAGGACTGTGTTTTAAATTTTTAAAATAGATAATATATGCAATAATTTTGAGTTATATAATAATTCAAAAGGTATAAAAGTATATACAGAAAAAGTTTTCTACGCTTGTCTGCCCTCTAGCCAGACTCTACCTTGAATACAACCACTCTTCCCAATTTCTTATACAGTCTTCCAAAGATGGCCTATGTCAATGATTTTTAAAAATATATATTTTATTGATTTCCGAGAAGGGAGAAGGAGAGATAGAAACATCAATGATGAGAGAGAATAATTGATCAGCTGCCTCCTGCACACCCCACACTGGGGATCGAGCCCACAACCCGGGCATGTACCCTGACCGGGAATCAAACTGTGACCTCCTGGTTCATAGGTCGACACTCAATCACTGAGCCATGCCAGCCGGGCTATGTCAATGATTTTCAACTGGTGTGCCATGGCATACTGGTATGTCTCAAGAATTTTTAAAACATGCAATACCTGACTAGTCAGGGGCACTGATCTCTTTCACCTTAGATTTAATTTAAAAATGACAACAGCCAACACAATACGAATGAATGAATAAATGAATGAAATCAAAATTATACCTATTATACCTATTATCGGATGGGCAAAAAATATATTTTTTGGTGTGCTGCAGAATTTTAGTAATTAGTTTATGTGTATCATGAGATGAGAAAGGTTGAAAATTGCTAGTTTATGTAATTAAATAAGTTGCTTTTGACTACAAAGCTTCTGACTACAAATGATCATATTTTTAGTAAGGTTCTGCATTGTCACTTTGCAAACTATCTTGGAGGTATATTTACATCACTTTGTATGAAGCTGCCACCTAGGGGCTTTATACACTGAATGTACCTCAGGGAATGTGAAGTGTCTCGGCTGAACTTTTTTTGTTGTTGCTGATCCTCACGCAAGAATATTTTCCACTGATTTTAGAGAGAATAAAGGGAGGGGGAAAACATCGATGGAATCAAACACAGGACCCTTCAGTCTTCGGGCCAAAGCTCTATCCACTGAGCAAACTGGCTAGGGCATCTGCTTCTGAACATTTAAATATTACAAATCTTTTGCTGTTATAAACAATGCTGCAATAAATATCCTTATACATAAATTAATTCTACATGTGCTATTATCTATAATAATAAAAGCGTAATATGCTAATTAGACCAGACGACCTTCCTGACAAAGCCAGGGCTGTGAGGGAAGCCTGGGTCTCGGGTGCCTGCAGGTGACCAGAGAGAAGCCTGGGTCCCAGGTGCCAGAGGGAAGCCAGTGCCAGCAGCCGGGGAAAGGAAGGCCTACTCATGCACTAATTGTGTGCATAGGACCTCTAGTCCTATATAAAAGCCTAATATGCAAATCGACCAAACAGCTGAACGACCAGTGGAATGACCTGTCACTATGATGCATAATGACCACCAGAGGGCAGACACTCAATGCAGGAGCTGCCCCCTGGTGGTCAGTGCACTCCAACAGGGGGAGCACCACTCAGCCAGAAGCCAGGCTCACAGCTGGCAAGCACAGCAGCAGCAGCAGCGCTAAGGAGCAGCAAGCCGAGCGGTAAGGTGCAGCAAGCAGGCGGGCGGTAAGGACCAAGGAATCCCAGACTGTGAGAGGGATGTCCGACTGCTGCAGAGAGCGGGCCTAAGTCAGCAGGCGGACATCCCCCAAGGGGTCCTGGACTTTGAAAGGGCACAGGCCAGTTTGAGCCCCCCTGCCCCCTGCACGAATTTCATGCACTGGGTCTCTAGTATCTATATAAAAAGGTCTTACAAATGCTGTTTGGTGGGTCAAAATATATTAAAATCTGTATGTGACAGACTTTAATTATGATGGAATTGCCAAATTGCTTTCCCTAAAAGTCATATCAAATTAAATGACCTTCTTCTGGCTGGTCAGTGGATTGAGCACTGTCCGTGCACCAAGAGATCATTGGTTCAATTCCCAGTCAGGGCACATGCCTGAGTTGTGGGCCTGATCCCCAGTGGGGAGCATGCAAGAGGCAGCCGACCAATGATTCTTTCTCATTGTTGATCTCTATTTCTTACTCCCTCTCCCTCTCTGAAATCAATAAAAAAAATATAAAAATAATTAAATGTCCTTCAGCAATGTATGTGAGCCTGTTTCCTAGCACTGTTTCCCACTTTTTCATCTCATGATACACATAAACTAATTACTAAAATTCTGAGCACACCAAAAAATATATTTTTTGCCTATCTGACAAAGAAAGAAATTGGTATAATTTTGATTCATTCCAACTAGGTGGCTATTATTGTGTTTACTGTTGTCATTCTCTTATTTGACAATCTAAGGAAAAAGAGATCAGTGTCCCTGGCTAAATAGTCCAGTGTTGCATGTTTTAAGAATTCTTGCAGCACACCAGTGTGCCACAATACAACAATTGAAAACTGCTGCTCTAGCCCTACCTGGTTTGGCTCAGTGGATAGAGTGGACTGAAGGGTCCCAGGTTCAGTTCCAGTCAGGGGCACATGCCCGGGTTGCGGACTTGATCCCATTGTGGGCGTGCAGGAGGCAGTCAATCAGTGATTCTCTCTCATCATTGATGTTTCTATCTCTCTCTCCCTCTCCCTTCCTCTCTGAAATCAATAAAAAAAAAATTAAAAAAAGAAAACTGCCAAAACCGGTTTGGCTCAGTGGATAGAGCGTCGGCCTGCAGACTGAAAGGTCTCAGGTTCGATTCCAGTCAAGGGCATGTACCTGGGTTGCGGGCACATCCCCAGTAGGAGATGTGCAGGAGGCAGCTGATCGATGTTTCTCTCTCATCGATGTTTCTAGCTCTCTATCTCTCTCCCTTCCTCTCTGTAAAAAATCAATAAAATATATTGGAAAAAAAATAAAAATAATTAAAAAAAAAGAAAACCGCTGCTCTAATCAACACATTATCAGACTCTTTGCTATTTCTCAATAAATGAAAAATTATCTAACAGTAGTGTCATTAGGTATTTTCATGGTTAAGCATTATTTGTATTTCCTCTTCTGTGAACTTTCTATTCATAGCCTTTGCTCAGTTTTCCTTTGTCTTTTTAAAAAAAAATCTATGCATATTTTTGAATGGGTAACATGACATAAATTTCAAAAATTCAAATAGTAAACAATAAAACTATAAATCTCTCTTAAAATTCTCCCTCAGTTATTGAGTTCTCCACAGAGGCACCACTATTATCTATTTATTGCCTGCCTTCCAGAGATATTCTATATATGTGTACAGGCATGTGTTTTGTCTGTTTTTAAAACAGAAATGGCAGTGTGCTACACTATTTTGTGTCTTTTTCACTTATATGTAAGTCTGCTCTATGACTGTACATATAGGGCTGCCTCATTCTTTTTTAGCTGCATGGTATTCCACTGTATGGATATAACATATTTATATAACAGTCCCAACATAGCCACTGTGTATGCTTGTGCAGGGGATTCCGCTTGCCAGGCCACATGCCTAAGTGTGAGGTTGGAGAGGGGTGCATTTCAGGCTCTACCCATGGTCTTCATTTTGGTTTAACTTATGTGGTAGAAATCCAATTGTACTTTTTTTCCATGTTTACTCAATTCTCACAATACTATTTATTGAATAATCTAGATTTCTTCTACTAATCTAAAATGCCAATTTTATTATTTCTATATTTCTATATATATTTAGATCTATTTCTGGACCTCCTTTCTGTTGAGTTTGTCCGTCTGTTCATGGCTTCAGTATCAGTTGTTCCAACTATGTAGAGCAGTGGTTCTCAACCTTGGCTGCACATTAGAACACCTGGGAATCTTTAAAATCCTGATTTCTGGGCCTCATCCTCCAGAAATTCTGTTTCTTTGTTACTAATGTTGTGCCCCACCCCATAACAAAGAAACAGAATTTCTGGAGGATGAGGCCCAGAAATCGGGATTTTAAAAAGATTCCCAGGTGATTCTAATGTGCAGCCAAGGTTGAGAACCACTGATGTAGAGCTTTATAAAATTTGCAACTTTCCCATAATTTTTAAAACTAGCTCTTCCCTCTTCTTTATTCTTCTTTTTCAGAATTTCACTGAAGGTGTTTAAGCAGTGAAGTCACACAATCTGATTTTGTTTCAAGAAGATCATTTTGGCAACAGTATGAAGAAAAAAACTGCAAAGGAGAAAAAGGGAAGCAGGAAAACAGGTAGAAGGTCACTGCAATAATCCAGAAGAAAGATGATGGTGGCTCAAACTAAGGAGGTAACAAGAACACTAGAGAAGAAGTCTGGAAGGAATAAAAGGGTCCTGTTTTAGACATATTGATTGAGATACCTATTAATTATCTAAATGTAATTAATCATCTAAATGTCAAGTAGACAGTTGGATACATGAATCTGGAACTCAGAGATTAGGGCAAAAGAAATAAACTGGGAATCAGCCACCACCTGGGTGCTATTTAAAACCACAGGACTGCCTGGCTGGTTTGACTCAGCAGATAAGAGCATCGTCCTGCTGACTGAAAGGTCCCGGGTTCGATTCTGGTCAAGGGCACATGCCCGGGTTGTGGGCTCGATCCCCCGTGGGGGGCATGCAGGAGGCAGCCAACCAATGATTCTCTCTCATCATTGATATTTCTATCTCCCTCTCCCTTTTATATTTAATAAAATAAATAAAACCACAGGATTGTATGAGTTACCTAGGAAGCAATGTAGGTTAAGAAAAGGTACGAGTATGATGACCTAGAAATTAAAGAAGGTATTTCAAGAAGAAAAGGGGGGAAAAAGCCCTAGCTCAGCGCTTCTCAACCTGTGGGTCGCCAACCTGTGGGTCGCGACCCCTTTAGGGGTCAAATGACCCTCAACATGAGGAACTGTATTAAAGGGTTACGGCATTAGGAAGGTTGAGAACCACTGCCCTAGCTGGTCTGGCTCCGTGGATAGAGCACTGGCCTGCAGACTGAAAGGTCCCAGGTTTGATACTGGTCGGGGGCACATGCCCAGATTGCAGGCTCAATCACCAGTAGGGGGTGTGCAGGAGGCAGCCGATCAATGATTCTCTCTCATTATTGATGTTTCTCTCTCTCTCTCCCTCTCCATTCCTCTCTGAAATCAATAAAATCTAAAAAAAAAAAAAGTAAAGATCAATTGTATCAAATGTTACAGAAAAGATGAGGAGAATGAAAACTGAAAGTTGACATTGGATTTGGCAAAATAAAAAGTATTAGCAACCTTGACGAGCAGTTTCAGTGAAGAGGTACAGACTAAAGCCTGACTAGAGTGAGCTAAGGAAAGATCACATTTTTAAAAATGGAGGCAGCAAGGAGAGGGCTACCTTTAGAGGAGTTTTTCCAAAATGGAGAGGAGAGAAATGGGACAGTGGCTAGAGGGCCATGGTGTTAACGAAGGATTTTTTTTCAAAATACTTCATGCCTTAGCACAGACAATAGCTTGGCCTTTGGAGCGCTTTTGTCAGCCCTGACCTTAGAGTCATGTTGCCAGGAATTTACCCATTTATTCCATTATCCTTGCCTAGTTATAAGGTAATTTTGTGAACTAAAGGGGGCACCTGCTTTAATGATGCTTTGTTTTCTTGAGCATTATCTCTAATATTCTGCAGGATGCACTCTCCGAAGTTACTAGAATGAGATATCACAACAGGAGTCTAGCCTCTGGCCTTCTTCACACAATTTTGTCACATTTAATTTCTGTTCCAGATTTATTAAATTCTGGGCATACTTTTTAGCACTAGCCCCACCACATAATGCATCTGAATAACACTGTTATTTGATATAAAAAATGATTTTTTACTATATCAAGAGCAAATGTTAAGAGAGCAGCACAAGAGTCACCAATACATGAACCTAAGGCCTAAGGTTCACGTGATACTGATAAAGAATGATGGGAATTTTGTTTTCCTGCTAAAGTGATGCTGAGACAGGACAATAATCACATAGTCTATAATCCTTTCAGCTTGCCAACTGCAGTTATGCATTTCTTCAAAAACTGCTTTAATTTTGGGAAGTTTTACAATGTTTCAAATTTGAGAAAGTCGGAATTTAAATATTTTTACTTTGCACTATTTTCTGCCTGACATACATATTTTACATAATGTATAAAGATACATAAAATGACATAATACTCAACTTTTAAGAGACTTTCTTGTCTAAAAGAAAATTACTTGAATGTAGCAAAAGAGAAAAATAAGCAACCCGATGAAATTAACAAGTACTTAAAGTATTTAAAGAAATTAAAGAGACACAAATAATAAAAATAAATTAGAAATGCATTCTCATTAATAATGTAATTTTAAGATTTGAAAACAAAAGCTAATGCATAATATATTACTCTAATTTTTTAAAGATTAAGCTGCAAATAGAAATGTACTCAGATATATATTAGAAGGTTATATCCAAAATGAAAATAAAGTGGCATTATCAGGCAAATACTAACACTAAAACTTACATCTTCAACGATCTTTGCTGCCTCTTTAGTAACTGCACCTGTTATAAAATGAAAACATGCATTATTATCCCCAAAATATATAGAAGTAAACACTAAAACCAAGAAATTACTTTCCTCTCACTAAGGTAATCTAGAGTCTAGATCAAAATTTCTCAATAAAAGACCAAGAAAACTTGGCCTCAGTATCACCTAGGGTCCTTGGTTAAGGTGAGGATTCCTGGGCCACAATCCCACCTATTGTATTAGAATCTCTCTTTTTTTTAAATATTTTATTGATTTTTTACAGAGAGGAAGGGAGAGGGCTAGAGAACCAGAAACATCGATGAGAGAGAAACATCAATCAGCTGCCTCCTGCACACCCGCCACTGGGGACGTGTCCACAACCAAGGTACATGCCCTTGACCGGAGAATCTCTTTTGGTAAAGGCAGCTATATTAAAATAATTTGGGTTATTGCCCTAGCTGGTTTGGTTCAGTGGATAGAGCATCAGCCTCCAGACTAAAGGATCCCAGGTTCAATTCCAGTCAAGGGCACATGCCCAGTTACAGGCTCAATCCCCAGTGGGGGGCATGCAAGAGGCAGCCAATCAATGATTCTCTCTCATCATTCATCTTTCTCTCTCCCACTCTCCCTTCTTCTCTGAAAACAATAAAATAATAATAATAATTTGGGTTATTAAAAAAATAAACTATGCATGCCACTTCCTTCCCTATCCATTCCACCCCGCTTGCTACCCTCTTCACTCCAAGACAGAGGAGTATGTTTCCTCATATAAATGTAAATATTACTGACAACAGCTATGCACACTAGACAACCCTGATTCCCAGTTTGAACAAATGCCTTTATACCAATTCATACCTTTTAAAACACTGTTAGTGTTCCCTGTGGGCTGGGCAGGAGATACTTTTGCTAATGACACCACATTGGTTATAACTGGTGTTGTAATTGTCCTCGCAGAACGGAATGCCATTGAAGCAGTTGGTGCCTTAGCAATTTGTACTGATTAAAACAAAAAGGTAAGACCTAGTATAAACAAAAGGGTCACACACAAAAACCCTGTTTAACAACTTAATTTTCAAGATGCAATGCAAACATCTACCTCTGTATAATGTTGGGTTGGGTGATTCTGGTCAGATTAGTGTTCATTAGGACTTAAAGAAAAGCTGATTTTCTAAAATTATAAGCTTCAAATTATATTTAACAGTGGGAATTTTAATATTTTTTACTTTGCACTATTTTCTGTCTGACATAATTCAAAGATACATAAAATAACACTATACTAAACTTTTGCAAGAGACTTTAAAATATAGGTATTTGCTTCAGGGTTAGCTGGGTTTTTCTATTAGTGAGTATTAAAACTCCTACATTTATGTTGCTTCAAATAAAAATTTAACATGACAATTTTTATAAATAAGTTGGCGATGTAGCTGTCCATCCATATAAAAACAGTGGTTTTGTTAACTCACATCATAGAATGAAAATTCTACCACCCACCTGGCAAATCTCAGGGAATGGATGCTATAACACAAAAGATTAGCACAAGGCATATCTGGATTAAGGTGATGATTAATAAGACTACAAAGGTGGACAAGAGCCACACTGTAAGGAGTCAAAGCACATGGATTCTGTCAATTCAATAGCACTTCAGGCTTTGATCAGAGAACATAATATCAAATGTTTTTAATCTAAGTCAGAGAAGTCCTACTTCAGGGAACTATTTTAAAAACATGCTACGTAACTACCTATTCATCTGGATATTTTGATCACATTAGCTGTCCTACTTGCAAAATTATTTTATTCTTAGCCAAGAAAAATTTGGCTACCCATGAAGAAGTGATCTATTTTATTTTTTTATATAATTAATGTGTTGTTCTTTTTTCCTTGGCTACAAGTAAGCACTGGATAAAATCTTAGGCCAGACACAGCAACTATATAAACATATTTATAGTCTTTCCCTTTATTTGCTCCAATTTCCTACTTTTATTTCTAGTTTATTAACTGAATAGCATATATCACTTAGTGTAAGTTATTTATGTACAGATAAACGCAATAAAAAGCAATCAAATCTAATTTTCCTATAAAAATTAGTGCTTCTACATTTATTATTCTTGGTGTGTTTGATTATGAGAGCAAAAAGTATCAGGATTAATTTCCCACAAAGGCAATCCTTAAGGATTCTTACAGGAAAATTTAAGGAAATTCAGGCTATCTGAATCCAGTGAAATTTTGTTCTTATTATATTATTTACAATTGTATATACTGATAGTATTATCCTAGCATTGACATAAAAATCCCATTAGCCAAGTTTAATTTTACCTTTTCTTTGTGAAACAAGGTCATTTGTAATTTGATGGTGACAGAACGCCAAGACACAAAATAGATTACAGAAATGTTTGATGTTTCCTCGCCATTTTATGGACTCGCTTAGCTTACCCTGTCGTTTACAAGCATCACACTTGGCCATCTGAGAAAAAAAACAGGATATGCTTAAAACTATAAAATAATGAAAAGATAAAATTATTATAAAATTAGAAGGCACTATGAAAACATGATATATGAACCAGTTGAGATCACAAAATATAAGATTTCTACCTTAAAATGTTGTGGTTATTCTCCAATGATACAGCCAATACAGAGTTAATATCCACAATTTATAAAGAACTCAAACAACTCGGCCTAGCTAGTTTGGCTCAGTGGATAGAGCGTCAGCCTGTGGACTGGAGGATCCTGGGTTCAATTCTGGTCAAGGGCACATGCCCAGGTTGTGGGCTCAATCCCCAGGAGGCAACCAATCAATGATTCTCTCTCATCATTGATGTTTCTATCTCTCTCTTCCTCTCTGAAATCAATATAAATATATATTTTTTTAAAAACTCAAACACCACCAAAAAAACAACCCAATTAAAATATGGGCAGAGGACCTAAGCAGATACTTCTCCAAAGAGGACATACAGATGGCCTATCTATATATATAAAACCCTAATATGCAAATAGACCAAACAGTGGAACAACCAAACAACCGAACAACCGGTTGCTATGACTACCGCTGACCACCAGGGGGCACATGCAGACCATGGCAGGTGTTGGCAGCAGGCAGCAGAGCACAGAACATGGTGGGCATTGGCTGCAGCAGGATGGTAGAGCAGGTGAATGGGGGCGCCAGACCATGGCGGGGCACTGGTCGCTGTCATCAGGGCTAGCTTTTGGTGGTTACTGAAAATTCTTTGCTCCTGCATGCCGCGGTCCCACACGGCGCTCACACCCCCTGCCAACGCAGGAGCCTCTGCTTGCACCTACTGTCGGCACCCAGCGCCAGCCCTGAATACCCCGCGCCGTTGACGAGTGCAAGCAGGGCCGGCACCATCAGCACATGGGAGCAGTGGTGGCGGGAGCGGGGCTGCCGGCAGATAGGGGGGTAGGGGCCGTGGCCAGAGGGGCCGGGCAGGGGCAGAGGATGGGCCGAGACCCACCCCTGTGCCCACTGCAGCCTCGCAGCCCAGAGTTCCTATCAAGGTGCATGAATTTGTGCACTGGGCCCCTAGTCCTATATAATAAAGGCCTAATATGCTAAGTGTCCAGTCATTTGATCGGCCATTCAACCAATCAAAGCGTAATATGCTAATGATATGCTAAGGCCGTTCAACCATTCACTATGACATGCACTGACCACCAGGGGGCGGACACTCCGACTTGTAGGTAAGCTTGCTGCTGGGGTCCAGCCAATCAGGACTGAGTGAGACAGGCCAGATACACCCTGAAGCCCTCCCACAGTCTCTCCCTGGCTGGCTAACCTCCCGCATCTCTCCCTGGCCCTGATCGTGCACCGGTGGGGTCCCTCGGCATGGCCTGTGCCCTCTCACAATCCGGGCTGAAGGACACCTCCCACCCTCCGAGTGGCCCAGTCAGTCTCTAAAATCAATAAAAAAATATTTTTTTAAAATCATAATAAAGTATCACCTTGCACATGTCAGAATGGCTATTATCAATAAATAAATAAAAAATAACAAGTGTTGGTGAGGATGTGGAGAAAAGGGAACCCTTGTGCACTGTTGGTGGGAATGCAGACTGGTGCAGCCACTATGGCAAACAGTATTGAGGTTCCTCAAAAATTAAAAACAGAACTGCCTTAAGACCCAGAGATTCCACTTCTGGACATTTATCCAAAGAAACCCAAAATACTAATTCAAAAGAATATGTGCACCCTTATCATCATTGCAGCATTATTTACAATAGCCAAGATATGAAAGCAACCCAAGTACCCATCAACAGACGACTGGATAAAAAAGCTGTAGTACATATAGACAATAGAATAGTATTACTCAGCCATACAAAAGAACAAAATCTTACCATTTGTGACAGCATGGATGGACCTAGAGCAGTGGTTCTCAACCTTCTTAATGCCACAACCCTTTAATACAGTTCCTCATGTTGTGATGACCCCCAATTTCATTGTTACAAATTGAACATAATTAAAGCATAATGATTAATCACAAAAACTATATGTAATTATATATGTGTTTTCCAGTGGTCTTAGGTGACCCGTGAAAGGGTCGTTTAACCCCCAAAGGGGTCGCGACCCAAAGGTTGAGAACCGCTGACCTAGAGAATATTATGCTAAGTGAAATAAGTCAGTCAAAGAAAGACAAATATCATATGATTTCACTTATATGTGGAATCTAGAGAACAAAATAAACAAACAAAATTGATAGAACAGACTAATGCATAGATAAAACAGACTGATGGTAGCCAGAGGGGAGGGGAGTTGGGGGAATGAGTAAAAAAGGCAACGGGATTAAGAAGTACAAAATGGTAGTTACAAAATAGTCATGAGTATGTAAAGTACAGCATAGGGGATATAATCAATAATATTGTAATAACTAGGTATGGTGCCCGGTGGATACTTGAAATATCAGGGAAACACTTTTGTAAAGTATATGGTTGTCTAACCACTATGGTATACACCAAAAAATAATACAAAATAATATTAAATGTAAAAATAAAATTAAAAATAGCCCAGCTGGCATGGCTCAGCAGTTGAACGTCAACCTATGAACCAAGACGTAATGGTTTGATTCCTAGTCAGGGCACATGCCCAGGTTGCAGGCTGTATCCTCAGTGTGGGGCATGCAGAAGGCAGCTGATCAATGATTCTCTCTTATCATTGATGTTTCTACCTATCCCTCCCTGTCACTTCCTCTCTGAAATCAATAAAAAAATATTATTAAAATAAATTAATGTATTGTGGTTAAAAATATATATTATTTCATATAGATACCCTCAATTGAGAGAATATAAAAGTTGATCTGTTTTCAAAATTATCAATGAGAAATCTAAAGATAGATCCTATTTTTAAGAGTTTAAGAGGCAACATGTTATAGTAGGAAGAATATGGAGAGACTTTGATTCATTCAATATCTAATGAGGTAGCCTTTGTCTTGAGTACTAAGATAGGTCCAAGGCATATAATTATGAACAAGACATACTTCCCCTCAAGAAAATTATATTTTGAGGGCTCAGGAAACAAGTAAACAGGTGATTTCACTTGAGTGGTATAGGTGCTGTCTAATTGTCACCTACCAGCTTCTTTAAGGACATCTTACTCCTTTTCCTTATTTATACTGGCAATAACATACCTACTTCTTGGGATTCCGGTAAGGATTAAATGAACACTTATGAAGCACTGGACATGTATTAGTGGTTCAATTAATTCCAGCTTTCATTGTTAACCTTACAAAAAAGTAATTTTTTTAAAAGGAGGTGGGTAAGGAGGTCAGTCATAGTCATTTGATCTATGAAATGAGAACAAGGCCTGACTTCAAATTTCTCAAAGGAACTTTCTGTATGAGAAAGGCATAAGGCAACTTACCTACATAAAGTTCTAACTCAGTTATAACAAGGTCAATGTGCCTTATAAGAAAGCAAAATTTAAAAGGAACATATCCTCAAATAATAACGTCTCCAGAAATTCTGTACTCTTTACCCCAAAGATTTCAAATTTATAATCAAATGAATTTTGCTTTAGGAGCCCATAGTTTATTTTATCCAGTTCTAAACACAAAACTTTACTCATATAATCTGAACATATTTAAACAAAAAATAATTTTTATAAACTTCAGGAAGCCAAAGAGGTATAATTACCTGATAAAACAGAACTGTAAATTTTGACATGCAATCTTCACAACAAAACTCTTCTAACTTGCCCTCCAATCGGTTTTCTACCAAATTAGGGGATGTCTGGGAGCAATAACTGCACATCCTACAGTAGTTTCCCCATCGTTCTCCAAAGTCACGGGCAGAGAGGTATTTGCAAACTGAGAACCAGAAAGGATGAAAGGAAGAAACATCAAATCTACTAACTTGAAGGAAGTAAAGTGAGTTTCTACAGTCTTAGATGTCCACAATTGTTAATTTCTAAATACTGGACACAATTATTTGCCTCTAGGTTAAAGAATAGTCTCTATATTCACAAAACAAACTTAAATCACCTTTTACATATCCTCTAAATATAAGACCATCTATATTCAGAAACATCAGTTTCTTAAGCCAAGAAGCCATAATTGCTTAAGTACCTGCTTCACAAATGGGTGCAAGGAAAGATCTCTGAAATCAGAGCTAAACTTATGAAGAGATCTAATATCATCATTGATCTAATTATATTTCAGAAGTTTTTTCTTTGCCGAGGTTATAGTAACATTTTAAAAGATAGACTTTTGTGGGTGTGGGGTAGAGTGGGTTATTGGGGGGGGGGGACAAGGAAAGGGGACATCTGTAATACTTTCAACAATACAGAAAAAATATAAATAAATAAATAAATGAAAAGATAGACTTTTGTCAGCTAATTTCTCAACAGAAACTTTGCAGGCCAGAAAGGAGTGGCAAAAATATTCAAAGTGATGAAAAGCAAGGACCTATAACCAAGAATAAGAGTATCACCCAGCAAAGCTATCACTTAGAATCAAAGGACAAATAAAGAGCTTCCCAGACAAGAAAAAGCTAAAGGAGCTTGGCCGGCCAGTATAGCCCAGTGGTTAAGCATCAACCTATGAACCAGGTCATGGTTTGATTCCCAGTCAGGGCACATGCCCGGGTTGTAGGCTCAATCCCCAGTGTGGGGTGTGCAGCAGGCAGTTGGTCAATGATTCTCTCTCGTCATTGATGTTTCTCTCTCTCCCTCTCCCTTCCTTTCTGAAATCAATAAAAATATATTTTAAAAAATAAATAAACCTTAGAAAAAAAGAAAA